ATAAAAAACGACTTCTGCATTATATAAAAAAATAATATTTATTTATTTGTATAGCCTAACCGTTATAAAAATATCCGTTTTTTTTTGTTTTGTTTTTTATATAGCCTAACAGATCGCAAACAGAAACACTTCAAAAAGGAAATTAATTATTCTTACCTAAGCTTTCAATTCGATTTATTTATTTTTTCATATTATGTGAGAGGAACACCAGCTTGTCCACATTGTTGGGAAGAAGGGAGCTTCTCGACATGTTCACAATGAAGCCGGCCTTTGAAAAGATGCGCTCTGAGTGGATGTGGAGGCGTTTAGCTGCTTTAGCGAGCTTTGGATATCGATGTTAATTTTTTTGCCACCATGATGCCAATGGTCCCGAATCAACCTTTGTTTTATCTGCCAGTACATTTTTAGTTCATCCTTCTCTTCTGCATGCTCCTCCTCATCAATTTTCCTTATTCGTTTCGGGCTCACCCTCCGCAGGGCTAATACTGTCATGATCACTTTCTGGCCCAGCTTCTGTAGATAAAATTTCTGTCAGATCCGACACTGTGGAGTACGCATCTTCTCGTTCTTGTTGGTCAAAGAATGACAAGCTCTTTAAACGTGGGTCTAAACAGCTTGTATATAAATTGCTGGTCGCGATATTTTCCGATACCTCTCCCACAAGTGCGTTTTGGTATACCGCGAGGCACGAGGTCTCGTTGATCTCTCGTTGCTTTGATGTCATGTCATACACTGACTGCGCAGCCCCTGATTGCGTAATTTTTTCACGTGATTTTTTTTATTTTATTTTTTTTTGCGACTAACCGACTAATGAAAATGTATTCGACCAAGCCCTCCTCATATCGACTAACATTTAGTCGACTATTTGGGGGCAGCCCTAATATATAGATATATACACACATATTAGGGCTCTATGATTTCCGTGATGCGCGGGTGTAATCCAGTCATAAAAATGACAGAACGTCTCAAAGTTGGCAGATTTGGCCTAACCCCAACCCCAACAGTAGCCTATTATTGTAATGTTGCAGTGGGAGTTTACATGAGTTTCCAGCATGTTGTGTGATGCTTTCTCCGGTGTGTGTAAAGTCTCAGTGTGGGCGTGTACCGTGAGTGATCGTTCTTGTGTTCGAGCACGCGCAAAATTGGTTGTAATTAGGGATGTGAATTTCTGCCAAAAATGGCATTCGAAAATCGAGGAGCAAAAGTCGATTATCGTTCGAAAATCGGAGAAAAAAAAAAACGCACTCACACAATAACAGAAAGGGAGGCTAATTCCATCTTTAGCGATTTATTAATTGAACAAGTGACATGTTTTCGTCATTTTTTTAACACAGAAGAATAATTGGAAGAAGAAAAAACGAAAAGCACAAAAAACGATTTTTGCATCGACAAACCAGATGCTCGCTCGATCAAAAAATAATATCATGTAATAATGTTTTTATGCGAACCTGCCTTGTAACCGGCAACAGCCGACTTTTTAAACAAATTCGTTTCGATGAAGATAAACTATTCATAGCATAACGCTTATGTCATATTCTTGTTCAGAAAAATTAGCACGTCATCAACATGTTCTGGAAGGAGACGCGAGCGCAACCTGTTGACGATTAGTCCAGCCGCGGAGAACACCCGCTCGGATGGCACAGATGTCGCAGGCACACTCAAGTAGGAGATTGCTAACTTTTCCAGGCGGGGATATTTCTTCGCGTTGGCCTTCCACCATGTTATGGGATCAGCGTTCATTGGTGGGCATACTGTATCTTGGCAGTATTGCAAGAGTTCGGTTGTCGCTGTTGCTGTCTGCTCGATGTTATCCTCGCCAAACAAGACCGCAATCGCTGCAGCAGAGAGGGCGTCATTTTGTGGATTTTTAGCCGCCGGTGGTTCAGTAGGCATTTCTCCCGATTCCCGATTCAGTGCATTCACGACAGTGCTCTTCTTCTGTTGTTTGTTTACACTATGTTCAAAAAGCTGGTATCCTAGATCGCCCAGTAGTGGGTTTCATGCATGTTAGTGACACCTTGTGTCCCTAACAGGAAAATACCTTGCTCCGCGATCTGTGTCAGTAGGCGCTGCGTCAATTATGTTAAATACACATTGGAATTATTGCACGAAAATATAACGATATTCGAAAAAGCTATTTTATGATCGAAGTTCGAACGCATTTCGACTATTCGACCATTCGAAGATCGTGACTCATCCCTAGCTGTAATATTGGTTGCAATCTGAAACATCACTGATAGAGGCTGCTAAAAATACATACAGCACCTTTAATAATTCAACTAATAGCAGTGATGGCAGAGACTGAACCGAGACCTGAGGAAACTAGGGCTGTACACACACAGGTACGGCTGTACACACGGGTAGTGTTAAAGTTAATGACCCGAAAAACGGGAACTAATCAACAAGCAAGGAAACAAACTATGATCGTTAGGTAGAACAGGAACAGAACACGGGGAAAACAGAACTCAAACTGAATATACTCATGTGTGAACGCGTGTTCCCATGAGCCGTAACTCAGTGTTGATCTTCATAATCCATCTTCCATTAATAATTCATACTTTTATTCAGTAAGGATACATTGAAGATATTTATAATAGGCCTGCAGTGCTGAATGGGCCAGTAATCGGTATCGGCCAATCAGAGCAATGATTTTCACTATCGGCCCCTCGTTTAAATACAGGGACGATTATATCCTGTCGATCAGAAGGGGACGGGAGACCGTCAGAGTTTATCAACTACCATATGTTGCATACAAACATTTCCATTTTTATTTGAGTGTAAATAATTATAACTGAAACATCAGATGAATATTATAGTTTGAGCTCTGACTCTGTTCCTATAATATTATAATAATACAATTATATTATTATATAAATCAATTAAGACGGTTGGCTGTATACTTTACAGCATTAGTTGGGAGAGATTCCTCTTCCTTAAGAAAATTAGTATTGCCTTCTGTTATCAAAGAATCCTGAAGAATAAAATGCATCACCGTTTCCACAAAAATACTGATAATAATCATAACTGTGTCTTGATCATCAGATCCTCATATTAGAGTGATTTCTGAAGGGTCATGTGACACTGAAGACTGGAGTAAATCACAGGAATAAATGACACTTTACTGTATATTCACATAGAGAACAGATGATTTACACTGGAGTAATATTTCACTGTTTTACTGTAGTTTTGATCATATAAACGCCGGTTTGAGCAGAAGAGACTCTTTCAGAAACATTAAAACATCTGAATTATTACAGACATGTGTACTAGTACTACTAAACCACTGGTGATAGTAATGCAAGTAAAGGTTGTTTGTAATGGTGTAAGCGCTTAAACCTGCTCAGAACTGACTTCATTCCCTTAACTGCTGCTGATGGGGTGTGTGTGTGTGTGTGTGTGTGTGTTTCAGGGGTCCGTTCAGTGTGGTGCGGAGATGCATCAACAGAGACACTGGACAACAGTTTGCTGTGAAGATCGTAGATGTGGCGAGTTTCACCTCCAGCCCTGGACTCAGTACAGAGGGTAAACACACACACACACACACACACACACACACTATCCCTACCCCTAAACCTATCCATCAAACACACACACACACACACACACACACACACACACACACACACACACACACACACACACACACACACACACACACACACACACACACACACACACACACTAACCCTACCCCTAAACCTATCCATCAAACACACACACACACACACACACACACACACACTAACCTGGGTTAAACCTACCTATCACAGGAAACATTCTTAAATGCATTTTTACATTTTCAAAAAAAAAAAAATTCTGTTTGATTTATAAGTGTGTATTCAGGTTTAAGTCCCCACCGGCATAGAAAAACATGTACACACACGAATGAGTTGCTCGGCGGCTCCCTCTGCTGGTCACTCATGTGATGTCAGTGACTTGACTCATATTGATGTTCATAACGAGTGATTAATGAGCTTCTTCAGGATCATGAGTGTGTGTGTGTGTGTGTGTGATCTCCTCAGACCTGAAGCGGGAGGCCAGTATCTGTCACATGCTCAAACACCCGCACATCGTGGAGCTGCTGGAGACCTACAGCTCGGACGGGATGCTCTACATGGTCTTCGAGTTGTACGTCTGAGCTTCGTCACAAACACAACACGAGTCTCTCTCTGTCACACCGCTCATACTCAAGCACAGGGGCGTTTAACGAACACTTTCATATGAAATAATAATCATGTGCTGATTCCTATTATTGCACGTCCTCAATTTTATTGGATTATTTTCTTTTTTAATGTGGATATTGATGGACTTAAAAAATACACGACTAAAAAAAGAGAAAATTTGAGACATTTGAAACATTGAATTCTATATTATCCATTTTTTGTTGAATTTTGTATTTTTTTGACCAGTTGTGATCAAACACAAAACCTCAAATCTGTAATGGAAACGTGCCAACAGACGCATGTAAATATATTATGAAGGGTGTAGCCACACGTCACACTGATGTGTGTGTGTGTGTATGTGTGTGTGCAGCATGGATGGGGCTGATCTGTGTTTTGAGATTGTGAAGAGGGCCGATGCTGGCTTCGTCTACAGTGAGGCGGTGTCCAGGTGAGCATCACTTCCTGTTCACATCACACTCAACCCATCTGCTTCCTGTGCTCAATCTGTGTGTGTGTGTGTGTGTGTTCACAGTCACTACATGCGACAGATACTTGAAGCCCTGCGCTATTGTCATGACAACAACGTCATACACAGAGACGTCAAGGTAGGACTCGATCTCTGATTCACAATCACAGTTTATAGCAGCTGACCCCATCTTCATCATCTTCACACACATGTTCATCTTCACCATCTTCATCACCTTCACACACAAATCATGTTCATCTTCATCATCTTGACCCATAAATCATGTTGTTCAAGCACGTATGACTGGTTTTGAGAACACTTAAGTGTTTATCTATAAGAATAACAAACGAGAAGTGAATAAACACGCAGAATAAGGTTTAATATTTTTATTCTCGTCTTATTTATTTATTTTTTTGTGTTTACATTTATGCATTTTACATCAATTGAACTCAAGGTGTGCATGATATCAGTTCATGCTGTTCGGGAACACAGAAGTCAGTCGTGTTTGTGTGTGTGTGTGTGAGATGTCCAACAGCTCGTAAATGATAGGAAGTGTCTGAGCCGCTAACAAGTTGTGTTTCAAATGTTAGGTTGATGCATCTCCAAAAATGAGCTTTCGGCACGAGTGTGTTCAGGCGTAGTACCGAACACTTCCACTAGAGGACAGCCAGACTCCATTACTGCCCATATAACGGCGCCTCCATTTCCATATGTGGTCTAATTGATATGAACACTTATTTCCACAATTTTCATCCAATTTATGAAATAGACATCCTATTCAGAAGTAATATGAGAAGTTTGGCAGATTTTGATATGAATTAAATCTTTAAGAAACACATTTTATAGCTTGATAAACATAAACACACACACACACACACATTATAACTTGCCACATCACAAATGGCGAATCTATAATTTTTCTCTTTACATTTAAAAAAAATTCAGACCTTTTTTCTAATATAATTGAATGGATGTTATCTTTTTAACTCTTGGCATGAAAACACTGAGGTTTCTACCCTTCTTTCAGGATTTTTCATGTTCATCACTATTTCAAAATAAAGGTCTGAACACGCCTTAGGAGTGTGAAAATATTCTTGTTGCAAATAGATAGATTGCGGCTCCTCTGTAATTTATCTTGAAAATCAGTCACCAAATATGAAACTTTTTTTATGCTTTCAAATGATATATAGTTTGTCAGTATTAGTTTAGTATTAGTTGTTTTAAATATGTAATGGCTATGGTGACGCTTATAAAGTTTAAAAGTTTTGTGTCGCTGTCGTGTTAATCAAGTTAATCACTAATGATCTTCACAACGGAAGTGAATCAAAACTAACTTTATCTGGACAATAACTCTATTCTAGAGCTGCTGTAAAGCTTAAACACACTGTGTTACTGTCACTGTAAAGCTGCTGTGATACATCTGTGCTGTTATAAATGAAGGCGAGTTCTTCAGTTCACAGACTCACGGCTCTGTTCGTCAGTGCAGTACCGCATGACCTCCAGCGGGAGGCGTTGTTCTCTCGTGCATCACTGCGGTTGCTGGAAGTAATGTCGTTGAGGTTTTGACAGCTCTGACTGTCTCCAGTCTGAACACTAACGCCAGACGTTTAGTGATCTCTTGCAGATGTGTATCCCACACATGCTCATCGAAGTGAACTTTCCCATGCTAACATTTCAAGCTAGTCCTTGTTTCCCATGAGCCTCTCCCATGCAGCGTTCTGATCTGCACTGAGATGCTGCTGATCGGTGTGATTGCGACACTGATCTCCGTTGCCGGCGGTTTTGAGCGCAGGTTTGGAGCGGAGCGGCGTGATCAATCCCAGACTCCCGCTGGACGAAGCTAGCACTGCGTTGGTGGAGACAGAGACGGCCTCCTGAACTCAGTGGTGGAGCTGTTGGTGGTGGTAGCGGATTCGTGTTGCACGTGGAATAGCTGTGCTAACGCCTGTAGCGTGGCTTTGCGCACCGAACCCGAGAGCATGAAGTACATGACGGGGTCCAGGCAGCTGTTGAGCGCGGAGAACAGAAGCATGACCTCGTTGGTCCGGTCCATTAGCCTCTGCGTTTCGCAGCTAGCATCGCTAAGCTGGGACGATACGTAGACGGGTCTGAAGGCGTGATACGGCACGAAGCACACGGTGAAGAGTAGCGGAACCACGAATGACTTCTTAGCGGTGCGGTCGTAGCGCGTGGCGTTTGGTAGGTCTGGTTTGTCGCGCGCCGCTCGTAGCAGTCGTTGTGCGATCCGTCCATACGACACTAGCAGAACCACGAACACTAGCCAGAACATGCCCACTAAGGACAGGTTAAAGTAGGCTTTCCCACGCGCGCGTTTCCTTTGCTTGTACTGGAAACACTTCCCAGGCTCCTCGTTGCCCTCGGCCAGTGCGATCATGGGGATGACCATCACTAACGAGCAGGTCCACAGCAGAACGCAGGTCACATGACTCCAGCGGCTCCCTCGTAGCCAGCGCGGCCCGCAGCCTCTCTGAGCGCCTCTCACGCCGATGATCTTCAGGTAGCGGTCCAGGCTAATGAGACCTAGCAGGGCGATGCTAACGTACATGTTCATGTAGAACAGGTTTCCCACCGCCTTGCACATGCGCGGGCCCAGCGACCACACGTTCCCTTGAGAGTGATACAGCACGCGGAAGGGAAGACACAATAGCAGCACCAGATCCGCTAGCGCTACGTTGATGAGGAAGACGCGCACGGAGTTCCGGCGCGAGTGCAGGAAGAGGAAGACCCACAAAGCCAGCAGGTTTCCCGCCAGGCCGAAGAGGAAGATGAGCGAGTATAGCACCGCGAGCGGCAGCCGTAAGCTGTCGTCGTCCAGCGCACACGAGCGGTTGTGTGTTAGCGAGGTGGCGGTGTGGTCGCTGAAGCGGTTCGGAGGCCAGCCGGTGGTGCTCATCGTGTTGGGTCTTTGTTCTCCTTGTTAGGTTGAAGTTCGCTGAGGTGTTCTGCAGCTCTGCGGAGAGAAAGACATGTTTAAGTTACAGCAACGGGGGAAATCGAGGAGGAAAGGCGAGAACGTTCTGGCTCAAACCAGCGATGGTCAGGCACACGTCCCAGAACACACTCTGATTGATGGTTTAAACGCCTCGTCTCTCTCTGCACAGTCCAATTTTCCATTCCCCTTTTTCTGGATCTTTTCAGCCGTGTTGAATGTTTTATTCTGAAGAGAGTTGCAGCTGTTTTCTTTTACCGCAGTGAAACTGAAGGATTAGCACCATCAGCATCTTTAATGAAAGTGTGTTTTGTGTGTATTGGAGGTTCATGGTTTATTCTGCAGCGGCGCTGAGCCGGCCTCGTCTTCCTCTAACTCAATCTCGCACGATCTACAATAATTACATGTGGTTACACTTTATTTTAAGGTGTCATCGTTACAGAGTAATTATATATTTAAGTTCAGCGTAATAATAATATACTTCGTGTACTTAGTATAGGGTTTGGAATTATTAGGCTTTGGCTGCGGGTTAGTTAGTTATTTAGTTGTACCATAGTTATTATTGTGGTAAGTATATGAAGAGTTCAGATGCAAAAGCCTCTAAATGCCATTTGAAATTTTCTTCTTTAATGATGATTTTTATCAAGCTTGTATATTTAAGTTCAGTAATTTCACTTAAATAACAATTAATAGGTAATTATCATTGCCATTTAAGTGAAATCACTGAACTTTAATATACAAGCTTGATAAAAATGATCATTCTAGAAGAAAATTTCAAATGGCACTTAGAGGCTTTTGCATCTGAACTCTTCATATGTTAAATATGTAACAAGGACACTGTATAATAAAGTGTTACCATATATATATATATATATCAGTCCCTCCAGGATTTCGTGGAATCTGCAATCTGGTGTTATTTGTTATTAGTTTTTTTTTCACGTCAGTTGTTATTCTTATGGCCAAAAATGTAAATCAATGAGGTCTTTATAGCAGACTACAAAAAATTGCATAAAAACATTCCTCAAAAGCCTGTAGCATCATATTTCACACATATGAAACATTGATTGATAGCTGTAAAATATGTACATGTGCTATAGGGTCAAAATTATAATTAGTTATTACCAATAAGTTATTATAATAAGTTATTATCAATGCTCTTAAAAATTAGAGAGCCCAATGGTTCTTTGAGATCAGGAAAGTTATTATCATAAAAGTTATTAAAGTCATTAAAAATATTTTTAGGCTGCAAAAATCTGTCCCTGGAATCCTGGAGGCACTGATGTGTATATGTGTGTGTATATATATATGTGAGAGTAAAGTCACACTTGCTGTTTTGTATCTTTGCACTTCCGCTCGGTCGTGTTAGTTCTGCTGTTTATGAAACCTTGAATCTCCTGCTTGTTACTATTTTATGCTGCTCTGAATAAAGCGTCCGCTAAATCGACACGTGTAAAGAGGAATCATTTTTCTCATCCTACATTCCTTTTTTAACTTTCACATTTTGTTTTAGTATAGGGTTAAGATCTTAGTATTTGAGCTGTTAATAGTCCAATTAAAGTAGTTGGATTAGTCCTGACCCAGTTAGCGGAAGCGCTGACACTTCAGAGATGATTTGATGTGGAGATCTCCGCTTCATAACCCTCTACAGCCGAGTCTCAGAGATACAGGACAGTAACGCAGAAGAGAACAGCGTCAGTCCAGCTTTACTGAGTTCAGTGATGTACTTAATTTCATTAAAAAAGTTCCTGATTTAGTTAATTTATGCTGCGCTCTGGAGGTCCAGCTCAGCTCTCGTGTAATGCTGTCAGTGCGGGAGATCAATAATGTTGCTGAATATTGAGTTAAATGTTAAAAAGAGGACCCTGTGTGCTGACTACTAAAATGGTCATTTCACTCATGAATATTATTACCAGTTGTTAAAATATTTCTACTGAAAGCTTTTTTAGATGAAATATTAGCGACTCACACACACACATTCCCTGACCGTAGTGTGAAGTGTATTAATGTCCGCATGAATGTTTCCCTGGCGGTTTAATTAATGACATCTGTTGAGGCATACACACACACACACACCTTTTACATTTTCACCCACACAAGTTTAGATCTCACACACACACACTGATGTTGTAGTGAATTGTACTCACAGTTCAGCATGTTGACCCTGTTGCACAGACGGAGCGCAGGGTTTGAGTCTCAGACCAGATCCACGTTCCTTCCTCCCGGAGTCTGCCGTCGCTCTACTGCTTCCCCTTCCAGCGCTCACAACATCTGCAGCCGCTGCGTCCTCTCTCACCACACACACACACACACACACACACACTTGCTCTCTCTCTCTCTCTCTCTCTCTGTCACACACACTCACGCTCTCTCTCTCTCTCTCTCTCTCACAATTTCAATTCAATTCAATTCAAAAATTGCTTTATTGGCATGACTGTACATCATACAATATTGCCAAAGCTTGGAATACATAGAATAATTATCTCACTCTCTCTCTCTCTCTCTCTCTCTCTCTCACACACACACACATACACACACCCTGTCGTTCTCTCTCTCACACACTCACATGAAGGGTTTGTTCCTTCTTCTTATCTGATATTATCACACGAGAGTACTCGGTGGTGATGAGAACACATGTGGTTTTTATGTAGGACGTGTTCAGTTTCATGTGTGTGTCAAGTCATCTTTAGTGCCACAGTTTATGAGCGTGCTCGTCGTTCCACGGCGTTGGACTATATTCTTTAAACACAACAGAGATCTGTGTGTCCAGTGCGGGAGAGAGAGAGTTCTTCTGAGACGCTGATCTGGAAGATTATTGATAAAGTGATCTTTAGTGGCAGAAGTTATAGATCTAACATATGTGTAACACAGAGCCGGCTTTGCAGCCTTGGCTAAATGAAGTTTACACGAACTAAATAATGAAAATAACGTGTGTGTGTGTGTGTGTGCAGCCTCACTGTGTGCTGCTGGCCTCTAAGGAGAACTCGGCTCCTGTCAAGCTGGGCGGCTTCGGCGTGGCGATTCAGCTGGGCGAGTCAGGCCTGGTGGCGGGAGGTACGTACGTGTGTGTGTGTGTGTGTGTGTGTGTGTTAACCACAGGAGTCGTGTGTACTCAGGGTTCTCACACCCTTTGAAAGTTTGTGAATCTGTAAAACAGAATTCAAGTTTTGCAAACACACTCGCACAGAGACCGTCTGAAAGTGCCTGAATCCATCCTGTGCAGAAGTGTTCTGGATCTCCCTCCGCATTTCAGCGTAGCGAGTGTTTCCAGGACTCTGTGTACTTTGAGTTGTACGTTGCCATGACGTTCACACGCACACTAAACCACTACGAGAGAACCTCAACCTTTGTTGGAGACGACGCAGGTGTGCGCACAGGAAGCCCTGCAGTCTGAGGCGATCGTACAGGGTTTGAACCATCCTAATGTGAACTTAGAGGTGTGGGAACCCTGGGAAAAAACCCTTCACTCTGATCTGTTCTGCAGCTCTCTCTCTCTCTCTCTCTCTCTCTCTCTCTCTCTCTCTCTCTCTCTCTCTCACTCACACACACACACACACACACTCAATTCAATTCAGAAAGCTTTATTGGCATGACAAAAAAATACATTTTGTATAATTTGCCAAAGCGTCAAAACAACATAGAAAATGATTTGGAACATTTAGTCCACAAAATATTAAAACTGATCATAAAACAATAATAATAAAACAAACAGATTAATAAATAAAATAAAATGGATTTAGAAATCATCTATATATATATATATATATATATATATAAAAAGAAAAATATTGAACATTATATACGTAGGTCTTAGGCTGTGAGTGAGTGTGTGTTTATTGTATGTTTGCACACTCTCTCTCTCTCTCTGGTGTAGGTCGGGTAGGGACCCCTCACTTCATGGCTCCTGAGGTGGTCAAGCGAGAGCCGTACGGGAAGCCGGTGGACGTGTGGGGTTGCGGTGTGATCCTCTTCATCCTGCTGAGCGGCTGTTTGCCTTTCTACGGCACCAAGGAGCGCCTGTTTGAAGCCATCGTCAAGGGGAAGTACAAGGTACTGCGTGCAGGAGCGAACACACACACACCTCAGACACAAGTGAACACACACCTCAGCACTGCAGACACGTCAGCGCTGGGTTAAAGGTCAGGTCAGGCCGTTACACTGGTGATCCAGTCATTTAAGCCGAAATGGGGGTCAACCCAGAAGCAAACTCGCCTGATTCTGTGTCCTCAAGATGTCCCGAAGAAGAATTCAATCCCAGAATGCATTGTGTGTATTAAGGATTGAGAGAAAAGGCAGTACAATTTTGTTTCATGCAAAACAGAGATGCATGTATCAGTTTTGAAGTGTGTGTGTGTGTGTGTGTGTTTGTCAGATGAACCCTCGGCAGTGGAGTCAGATCTCTGAGAGCGCTAAAGACCTGGTGCGGCGTATGCTAATGCTGGACCCAGCCGAGAGAATCACCGTCTATGAAGCGCTCAACCACCCCTGGCTCAAGGTCACACACACACACACACACAAACACACATGCTCACACACACACACACACACACGCGCTCACACATACACACACTCACACGAATATGAAGTTATCATTTCTTCTTCTGCATGTGTTCACATCACTTCCTGTTTCTGATATTGGATCACTGTATCGGGTTCAGTTCGCCTCATGTTGTGTGTGTGTGTGTGTGTGTTGTGCAGGAGAGAGATCGCTACTCGTACAAAATCCACCTTCCGGAGACGGTGGAGCAGCTGAGGAAGTTCAACGCTCGGAGGAAACTCAAGGTATCCACTGTCATCACGCAGACGTTCCTCAACACGTGCCCAGCCTTCACACACACACACACACACTCACACACACTACTAATAATCCTGAAATTGAGCCTCTTTAATCCTGTAGTTTAATTCTTTATACAGTACTTGTTCAAACTATGTCATTAAATGACTGGATGACAAAGTTGATTCGGTGTTTATCACACACCATCTTCATTTGTAAACAAACAGGAAGTAACACGAAAACATACACCTGATCTGCACACTTGCAGAAGTCACATGACTACCCGTCTGTCTATATAATGTGCTTGCTGTGTCAGAGCTGACGGATCGGACCGTCATCAATCTACAGCTTCACAGTAATGAACAGGAAACGGCTGAATCGGTGATGCCAGCTTCATCAGATACGAGACGCTGCTGATCTGAAGACAGTTATGATCTCGTCTGAGTGTCGGATCACTCTTATTATTAAATATTTAGTGTCTTTTGAACTCCAGATTAATAAAAACTAAATCCAGTTTAAAATATTATCTTAAAGTTCAAAACGGCCAGTCTTCATTATGGTTTTCCTGTTCACGCTACTGGATGAAGTGTCTGAAGTTCTCTCTGAATGTTCTTTTTTTTATAATTGAAAGGAGTAAAGCAATATACAGTGAAACCATGAACGTTACATTTTCCCTCCTTCTAATCTAACCCCCCAATTATCCCTCGGCAGCGCTAAGAGCTCACACACGACAGGAGAACAGCGTCTGCTTACAGTCAAAATACAACCATTACGCCACGACACCTCTTCAACGCAGGTGCCCATACAGACCAAACAAAACTAAAGCAGTGATGAGAGAAGTATCATTATTACAGTGAAAATGCAGACACAAAAGAGAGAGAAGAAAAAATGATGATAAGAATAATTTTGCGAGACGAACTAACGAGAACTAAAGAGAGAGATGCATGGAAAATAGGTTAGCTGGGTAATTCTTCCAAAATGTTTAAATATGACAAAATAGGTTCCCATTTCAAATAAAATCTGTCCACTGATCCCTTTAATGTAAATATGATCTTTTCTAATTTGAAAAAAGAACATCCCATCTTCTAGGCTTCTACTGTTGCAGGGTTAGGGTTAGGGTTAGGGTTCGGCCAGTAAAGAGGAAGATGTGATGATGCTCCTCTGGGTTAGGGTTAAAGTAACTGTTATAGTGTCTCTGGGAAACCAAAAGTAGCTGTTGAGGAACAGGGCCGCAGTGTCACCGCAAGAGTGCATGTTCTCAAACTAAACGCTTCATGCTAATAATTACATGAACTAGTGATGCACCGATGTGAAAATTTGTGGCCGATACCGATAACCGATATTAACATTGCTGTTATGGCCGATACCGATATTTACCGATGTCAATATCCCTGTATAGAAAACACATAGCGAGGATTAGGGCTGCACGATATTGGTAAAAAATGACATTGTGATATTTTATTTTTCTGCGATATATATTGTGATATAAAAACATTTTCACCAGATTACTTAAATTGCTCTATTTGGAAAGAATGAATCATTCTAGAATGACTGGGGTAGTTTTGTCATGGAGTATATCCACAGAAACTAATATTAATAGAATGTTAACAAAATTTGTTAACATTCTATTAATCTATTAACCTTACACTTTACAAGAAGGTTCCATTTATTAAAGTGTTCATTTAATGTACACTTTAATAAATGGAACCTTATTGTAAAGTGTTTCCGATTTATGTCTCTTGAGCTCAGTGTTGGACAGATCAGTTGTTTTAACCATTCATTAAAGTGAATCGGTTCAAAGGAGTCATTAGTTCGCGAATCGGACGTGTCATTAACGGAACCACGGCACACGTTGTGTGATTATCCAGGCAGTTTAGAACATCGCACGAGATTTGTCTCGACTTATTTTTACAGTCTATGGTCTCGACAGTCGACACAGAAAACATTTCATCAACACGATAGATTTTTTTTTTTTGGTTTATTGAAAGTGTGGTTTCACAATTCACAACCAGTAGTTCAGAAGAAAAAAACTTCGGTCTTCCGACCTTTTACCATCGTGTATTCTCAAAGATATTCAGTCAACTCAATTCATAAACATGCGTGAGGGGGAGAGAGAGCAAGACATTTTGAAGACGGCGCGCGTGACCGGTGCTTTAATTGACTCTCGTTCCCTCAGTTAAACAAGCGCACCAGTCACTCATCTACATCACTTACCGGTCAAATATGGCTTTGGCGGGACAAAAATACGCATTAGGAAGGCTGGCAGAAAACAGCTCACCAGTTCCAGTCTTCGTGCGCTTGATGTTTAAACGCACTTGCGCTTTTAATACGCGTGCAAAAACAAACATCCCCGCCCCCACGCAAGTCAAATACACAGGGAATGATCATCGGCCTGTTCACATCGGCCCTATTTTGACATCGGAACGATACCGATGTGTAAAAAATTGACCAAATCGGCCGATATTATATCGGCGGCCGATATATCGTGCATCACTAACATGAACCATCCATAAATACATTTTTTGGTGGTAATATTTTGAGAACATTATTAGTCCAGATGACCGTGTGAA